ATGTATTTATTCTTTCAGCCCAGGGAAAGCGAGGGACTGCCTCCGAGACACCTCTCGCAGCAACATCGGCGGCTGTGTGAAGCCATGGTGAGTACCGAGAGCCTGAAGCTCCAGCGGGAAGAGGCAAAATCCATTAGTTTTTTCACCAGGATAGCTTTAATGGGCAGGGAGCGATGGAGGCAGCAGGGATCTGATGGCCAACGGTCCCTCCTGCCCTGGAAAGGGGGTGAGCAAGTCGGAGAGCATCTAGCTGCATCAGCAGCATCCCATGGGGAACAGAGAGCAGAGCTTTCTAACTGGGGCAGACTGTTTCAGGGTCCAAAGGCCATCTTTCTGCTTTCCCTTCCTCCACATAGCGAGAGGAAGGGCCGTCGTGTCCCCCGAAACCCTCTCGCTCTGCCTTCTCCTAGCAGATCCCCCGGATTAGAGAGAAAGGCTGCTGGAGCCCGTGGCTGGAACGAGGGATGACGGGCAGGGTGGGATGGTGAGCGGCTCTGTCCTCTGCTCCTCTTTAAAAGATACATTGAGCCATTTCTGGTTGTTTCAAGCCTCAGTGCAGGAGGAGGCAGCTTTTTTTATTAAGCAAACATTTTCACAAGTGCTGTGTTCTTAGCGAGAGGCACAGCAGGGTGAGGAAGCACCCGACGTCTACAGCCTTTGTGCGCAACCTCCACAGCGCGCTCCCGAACCTGGGTTTCCACCCAGGGAGATCTCACCCCAGTGCTGATCCTTTGACCTGCTGTAGCCTTTGGTGGGGAAGTGATTCCCCAACTCATCTTTCCTCAGACCTATTTGGCTAAATCCATCAGGAAAGCAAAGATGGAGCTGTAATTTAAGCAGGAATTTTAATGCCCCTCAGTAATTCGGAGGGTCGCGTATGCCCAGAGCTGCTGAGCAACGCACGGGGAAACCACCAAGCACCCAGCGAAGAGAGCACACCAGTCCAGAGCTACCGTGAAGGACTCACGACTAAGAATAGGGTAGTTTCATGCTTTTATTCCACGCCATAAAAAGCCAGTGAGTTAGTGATACATACTTGAACCCCTGCAGGCACCCAAGAAAGCCAAGAAGAGGATTGAAGGTGCTAATTCCAACGTCTTCTCCATGTTCGAGCAGGCCCAGATCCAGGAATTCAAAGAGGTAGGTGGGTTTGGTAGAAATGACCGAGGGTCCTTGATGCAACGTGACCTTCAGCCATTTCCTCAGCGCTTTCAGGTCGGTGACAGCTGGTTTGCACAAGAGGCACCATGCCCTGTTTTGAGACATTTTATTTTAAAAGTGAGAATAAAAACTCAGTGACATTGTTAAATACGGCATCACCTCAAAGCTTCCTAGGAGCATTGGGGTTTGGGTTGCCATAGGAAGCCATGACCCCGCAACGCCCAAGGGGGCAGGGGCCAGGGTTGCTCCTGGGTTAGGGTGATGGCTATTCGCTCCCTGGCTGGGTGAGGACCCCCAGAGCCCCATCCTGAGGGGGGGCCTCAAAGTGCTCTTGTCCCATCCAAGTCAAAGGGAGGAGGCGGCGGCTACTAAAGCTTTTGCAAAGGCCGACAACTCTCCCTCCTCCTGTGCTTCCAGGCATTCACCATCATGGACCAGAACCGGGATGGCTTCATCGACAAGGCAGACCTGAGAGACACGTTTGCTGCACTCGGTGAGCCCCCTTTTAGGACCCTTTACACTCCCCTCCCCAACAGCTTTGACGACATTAGACCTATTGCATGAGAAAGCAGCTGTGAGCCCCCATTTAACCAAGCCCTAGCCGTTAACTGGATCTCCTGTTTGGCTGAAAACCTCCTGATCCGATCCCACGTCTGTTAGCTGGTGAGATCCCACGCAGGGTGACTCAGAGCAGCTCCCGCAGAGCCAGCTCCTGGATTATACACAGCCAAATGCTCCCTGCCTTCTTGCGTGCTAAGAAGCAACTGGCTGTGCCCATCCCACAGCACCCCTGGGGGTATGGGCATCAGGGGGATTTACGGGATTTGTGGGAAGTCATGAAGTTGCCAGCTTGGCTCTCTCATCAAGGAGGCCAGCAGGAACCAGTGATGGGGCCCGGTGAGTCCCAAAGACAACTCAACTTCGGGTAAAAGGACGTAAGCATTCAATCATGTTCATTTCTGACACCGGGGGCCACGGGGAACCACAATGCTGGTGGTTTTAACCCAAAACATCTTCCGAGGAGGGCTAAAGCAGGTTGATCCATGGGGCAGTGAGGGAAGGAAGCAGCATAGTTAGTCCTTTGCAGCCCTCTTTTCTGTGATCCTGGAGCCTGAGAAGCCAGAGCTGGAGATGTCCAGCCCACTCGTCCTCTGCCAGCAGGCGATTCTCCCATCCTCACTTCTGCTACTGCTGTTCCTTGTCAGAGGTGGCTCCTCAGGGCTGTGCCGCTTGCCTCGGCTTGGGGAAAAACCTCCAGGTAAAGGCCCCCGTGGTGTGTCTTGTAGCAATTGGACATGCGGTTCACTCAATGCTGCTCTCTCCTAGGGCGCCTGAATGTGAAAAACGAGGAGATTGATGAGATGATAAAGGAGGCACCCGGCCCAATCAACTTTACCGTGTTCCTCACCATGTTTGGGGAGAAACTCAAGGGTGAGAGGGCACCTGGGGAGATGGCGGGGGTGGTTGGTGGGCACCCACACCATCACCCATATCCTGTCCCACCTGGGGAAGCCACCCAACTCCTAGGGCCTGTGTCACCCTTCCAGTTGAGACCCATCAGAGGCTCCTTGGAGGCCTCACATGGGAGCTGCTAAAGGAAAGGCAGGTGGCACTGACTGCCATACTGCAGTGTGCAGAACCTGGGAATTGGGTCCCAGCAAAGATGCCTCCCACACCATGGCCAAGAGGTGACATCTGGGGACAACAATGGGATACTTGTGAAATGATCTCCCTCACCCATCCCTCCCACATCCCTTTGCGCCACCTTCTTCCAGTGGCAGCACAGGGAACCCCCCCCAAAGATAATGCCTTCGGTGGGACCATCACCAGCAACAACCTCTCTCCCCAAGAGCTCCAGTCCTCATCTTCCAAATCCTAGACTTGGACACTCTCCCTGCCTCCTCGTCCTGAGACACTGCATTTAGGACTAACTCAGTGTCATGTACCCTGAGCAACTGTCCCCAGGGAAGCCGCTGTACCCCAAAACTCATGCTGACTTGCAATACCAACAGTCCCTAAGGCTGCCCATCCAGAGACTTGGATCTCATCCTGTATCCCCCCAACCTGTTGGGTGGTATAAGCAGGTCTCCGTGCCTCAGTTTCCCCAGCCATTTAAAAAACCCAACAGGCTGTGATGCTGCTGTCCCCATAGAAAGAGGAGACAGGAGATCTTGCAGCACCTCTGAGCCTGCTGTCACCAATGGCCACCCTGGCAAGGGCACTGGCTACAGCTTGACTTTGACCCAATGGTCTCATCCGGCTTCACCCTGTATCACTTTCACAGCCCAAGGCATGCAGCCTCCCCGCAGATCTCCAGGAGGCTCCGCGGCCCCAAGGGCCCGTGCCTGGAGCTCTATAAATACACCCAAAAGATTAGATAAGACGCCAGATGCCAAGGCGATGGTGACATAGTCTGCTTTGTGGGTACACCACGACCCTACGTCTGCTCCTCTACTTGCCACCACCCATGCTCGAGGCCCCAGCGGCAGGATCAGCGTTCCTGGGGG